GATGTATAGTTTTTATGAGAAGAACGTTGCTGGTAAGGAAGGAAGCAACAAGTGCGAGACCGTAACTGAGACACGGGAAACAATGAGGAGGCCAAGGTGACTGCTTCCCATTTTCCCTTCAGCTCACCCATGTGAATCAGTTTATATCATATCCTATTCATCTTACATCTTCTTCTACCTGTTACTGGCCTATCTGGCTTTATAAAGCTCTGCCTAGCTCTACAAGTGGAAGGAAGTAGGTTACAGATTGCCAGTCACTCTACCATAGGAAACCTTACGTCCCTCTTTCTCTTTTTAAGATGAGGAATGCCTTCATGAACCTTAAAGATATGTGGGGGAAAATCTGGAACAGAAAGTGTTTGTGATAAAAATTCATAAAATTATAATTCACTTGTTTGCACAGTGGACATTTGTTGAGCAGTGGTTCTTGAACTAGGACCAGTAATAAACAAATACACAAAAATATCTGCCTTCATTGAACTTACAGGGTAGAGAGAGAAATAAGTATATAAATAAAATTTGCTTGTTTAATAGTATTGCAAAGGAGGGAAAATACAGGGAAGACAAAATATGTCTACTGGGAGAGAAGCTGAAATTTTTTGTAAGGTGCTCAGAAAAGCAAAGTTGGGAAAGTAAGTTTGAGGAAGATCTGAAAGGCGAGGAGCGCAAGCTATATAATTTTTATGAGAAGAACGTTCCCAGGAAGTGTGAAGCTAAGAAACAATGAGGAGGCCAGGGCAGGGAGCCGAGAAAATGAGAGAGGGTATTAGAAAAAATAAGTCCAGGAACAGAGTCAGGAGGCTGATCATTTAAAGAACGAAAAATTCTCGTAGACTAAAACATTGTCTTTTCCTCTCCAGTCATACACAACCAGTTTTATAATACCAGGTGTAACAAGGTTAAACACAGAACTCAAAACAAAACAAAGCGTCTGTGCACAAGCTTTCTTTTTTTCTTTTTCTTTCCATCTCCTTTTGTTGGGTTTGGCTTGTTGTTTTATGAGGACCTTGAGATGTGTTGGCAAGTTAGTCATTTGCTCTTGGATTTTAATTGTAAGCACTCAGCAGGAGCAGCCCAGAGGTGCTGGTAAGTTCTGCTTCTTTTCTCTCCCCTATTCAAATGAGGGATTTGCTGGTTTTATAGCCAGACAAGACTGGGTTATTTCCAAGTTCATATTTTTCATCCACTCCTCTCATGAGTTTATTCTTTCCTGGTCTTGTGTGATAGAGGCCTTCTTCCTCCTGTGTTTAGGATTCCTTTAATTATTTTCTGCACTGCTAGATTGGTGATCATGACTTCCTTTAGTTGGTGCTTATTTCGAAAATCTTTCACTGTTAATTTTAAAAGATAAATCTGTGTAGTAGTCTTAGTTGACAGCCCTTACCCTTGGGGTTTTAAATATATCATTCTATTCTTTCCTGGCTTTTGGAATTTCTCTTGAGAGGTTTGATGCCATTGTGATGTGAGTTGTCATTTTTCTCTTCTAGCTTCTAATATTTTTTTCTTAGTTTCATAGTTTTGGCATCTTGACTCTAATGTGTCATGAAAAGATCTTTGGCCCTCTCTATTGGGAGTTTAAATGTCTTGTGCTTGGCTGTCCATTTCTTTCTCTTATTTTTTCTGCTATAATTACATTGAGGTTTTTTTTTTTATCTCAGCTCTCTCTTGTACTCTACAAATTCATAGGTTTGCTCTTCAGTTATGTCCCAGAGGGTTCTTTTTTTTAAAGTTGTAGTCATGCTCATATTTTTGGATATTAATGTCTAACATAATTTCCTTGATCTTGTCCATTTTGATACCCCCCCCGGGTTTGGTCAAATCTATTGGTGATACTTTTGACTGTGTTTTTCATTTTAATTTGTTGAGTTTTTAATTTTCAGTGTTTCTCTTGTCTTCTATCTTCCTCTCCCAATGTGCAGCTTCCTTGTTTTCCCGTGTGTGTTGTATGCTGTCTTCATGCCCTGAGCTGCTCTCTCTAGTTTCTGTGCCTGTCATCTTTGAAGTTATTGGCCATTTTTACAAGGAAACTTCTGAATTCTTCATCTGGCTTTTGACTCATGTCAGTGTCTTTGGGTTTAGCAGTTGTTTCCCCTGGTTGCCTTGTCTTTTCATGTTTCTTGTACTTCTGTGTTGCGCTTCACTACTGCTGAGTGGGTACCTCCTCCAGTTTTATTTGAGGATATTAGTAAACAGTCCTCACTTGAGACCTCAAGTGCCAGTACCACTCAGAAGAGAAAACAAAGCACTTTTGGATGCGCCTTCTGTTTCCTCTCAGCCTACTGTACAGCCACATGGTGCTGCATTCTCTCCAGGACATTACCTTCCTGTTTCTTTTCTGTTGCAGTGTTTGGGCATTCAGTCCCCTTCTTTGCAGTGTGTGATGTACTGTCCAGCTTTGTGGACATTTTTGCGACTGTTAACTCTAGTGGTTTTTTTGACTCTTCTTAGTTGCCATGTAACACAGAGTGGCTTCTGGTCATTGTTTTTGTCATGAAGATTTTTCTAAATGGAATTGCTCAGTCATAATATGTGCATGAATTCAACTTTAGAAGACAATGCAGAGTTGTTCCCCAAGTGGCTATGCTAGTTGACATGGTCCCCAGCAGTATGAATGATGGTTCTTAGCGATACTTGCTGTTGTTCAGCTTTCAAAAACATTTGTCAGTGTGAGAAAGTGAAACTGAAATTTAGTTATAGAACTAAGTCCTAATGCCCCATTCTATCTCAAATTAGTTTTCTAACAATAGTAAGTTGCATTTATTAGATATGGAAATATATAGGCTTTCTATAACAACGGAAAAGTCAAGAAAGGGAGAATGAGAACTTAATGGAAACTTTATGGTAACTTGTTCAGGGGACCCGAAAATGTGATTTTAGACTGACTGGGGCGTGACCACCTGACTGGAGGGTGGGGGTCTTAGTAGGATGGGGAGAGAGCACGAGCCAGAGAGAAGGGAATCGAGGTGGAGAAAGGAGAGAATGGTGGTGTGGAACTTGCTGAAAATCAGATGATTCTTGGGCCCAGTTGTAGGTCTACTAGTTTAGGAAGTGAAGAAATGGGACCGACGTTTGCCTGAGTGCATTTATTTTGTATGAGCTCTGTTAGTTTTGTTTATTTTTTAATTAGCACTATTGGAAAGCTTTTGCTAGGCAGTGTGACAGAATGCATTTAGACCTCAGTGTTTTATTACCCATTGTCTCAGAGACACACAGTGTCAAATACTGCAGCAGAAAAGTTTATCTGAATAACCGTTGCTCTAAAAATAAAATAATAAAACTTATAGAATACTAATCACTAAATCTCTACATCTTAAAAGGAGTGTCTTCAAACACAGCTTTCAAAATTCTAAGTTATGTTAATTTCATAGTTTATTACAAAACTAAATTGTTATATCAGGATCAATGTCGTAATTTTGTGAAACAGAACAAGCACTGAGAGTGATAACGTGACAGTTTGTGTGTCATGCTTTTCAACCTGGGGCTTTACATCCCGTATTAGATGGAGAGTTGTTAGCTATTCTAAAGGTACAATAAGAGATTATTGTTCATATCAGTGTAATAAATTGATATTCCTGACTGTACTTTTTCATTTTGCACATTGTCAAAACCTTGGACCTTAATCTTATCCTTTGATTGACAGTAGCGACTAGGGAAAGAACACGTGTATTGTTAGGGACAGTCACATCTGTTCAACTTGATTCAGTTGAGGGTATTTGCATATTCTTAAGTATTTCTTCTGAGAGGGCTTAACTTCTCAAGTGCTTGATGCATTTTTGAAATTCATTCATAAGGTATCTGCATGCACTAATAGTTCTGTGTAATATTGCTGTGCATAATCTGACAGATAAGACCACATTTTAAAATAGGCATTCTTGAGGGAGGTGACATTATGTTTTACCTATTTGTTAGGCAGAAATGTTAGGTTTTTTTTTTTAAAAAAATGTCTTGTAATGCTTTGATTCAAGTACAATAGCCTTACTCTAGGCAAATTGACCTCTCATATGATGAACCAGAATTTATTGAACAGTAATAAAGGTGTTAATAATAAAATTTCCTGCCTTGGTAGGAAAATTGAGTAATTAAATGTCTGTTTAGTAACTCCTTTATTTTTAAATAGGGATTATTACCAAGGCTGAGGTTTCTTTAATGTTAAACTTTAATGTTTCTTTCAATTCTAATGTCAACCTTAGAAAATAGTGGATAGTATATAACCTCTGGTTTACATTGTCACAGATTGTCTTGTATCTGAATTGCCTCTTGCCAGTAGAACACAATGAAAGATTATCTTATGTGTTATCATATGTCTGCGGAATTTATATGATATTCACACATGGTTAATGCCTAGCCATTTACTATCCTGTTTGAATCAGCCTCCTAAACCCTTATTCTTAAACGCCTTAAAGAGCAGACAGGCTTCATGTGTGGTTCTGAGAAGTGGGCACTAACTGTTTTAAAGACTTTTTACGTAGACTGGGGTCAGTCAGCAGTGTTGCCATGGGATCTGCAAAACAGTTTCTTTACTGACATATGTGATCTTAAGGAAAAGACTAGAATTAATCACAAAATGTCTTGGAAAAAATTATAGATTTAACAGGAAAATACCATCATGTTACATTAATTTAATCAAGATTTAGGGCAGTTAATGACAGATTGATTTCTCACACTAACCTGGAACCTTTCCTAGTTTCCCTGAGGCAGGGTCTCATGTAGTTGGGGCCAGCCGTGAACTCAGGATCCTCTTGCCTCTGCCCACCCTAGTGCTGGGATTGCGGGCATGAGCCCCTGTGCATGCTCTCTACAAGTTTTTATCCCATATTTTCTTCTAGTATAAGTATTTTTGAGTCAACTCTTTTTGTTTTATTTTTTATCTACTTTACTTAATATAAAAGGTCATCACAATTTTATTATTGTATTATAAGAATTATTTAGTGAAGGAAGTTCTTAATTTTTATTAGCTATAAAATAATTCTAAACTGCATAATTATTTTTTTCTCTTACAGGAATCCCCTTCTGGTCGGAGGAAAGCTCTTGCTACTAGCAGCATTAATATGAAACAATATGCAAGCCCTATGCCAACTCAAACTGATGTCAAGTTAAAATTTAAGCCATTATCTAAAAAAGTTGTATCTGCCACTCTCCAGTTTTCATTATCTTGTATCTTTCTTCGGGAAGGAAAAGCAACGTAAGTTTCTATCATTAAATAAGAGACTTCCTTCATCTCGTGTTTTAAAATACCACAGCGTTTGTCTTAGTAGAATGGCAATAAGATGAACATCATTCAAATGAATCCAAGGCACGAACTCAAGGCAAGAATTGAAGCAGAAGCCATGGAGGAATAGAGGTCACTGGGCTTGGCTTTCTCAGCTGACTTTCTTATACACGCAGGGCCCCTGCCTCAGGGTGGTACCGCCCACAGTGCCTTTTTCCATATCTATCATTAATCAAGAAAATGATCCTTCTGGCCAGCCTGATGGAGGCAATTTCTTAAGTGAGGTTCCCTTTTCCAAAGTGACTCTGATTTGTGTCCAGTTGACAAAAGTAACCAATACAATACCTTTCTCAAAAAACAAAACAAACCAGAAATCACTTCTTATGTGCTGAATAAGCACTTACTGCATTGTCAAGTCAGGAACAAGTACATGTGGTATCTACAGTGCAAGAGCCTGTCTAAGTAGAATGTGAAAGGGCAGAATAAATGAAAATGCTATGCTGGGAACTCTCTCTTAAAGATAAGGGAGAAGGATGGTGCATTCTGAACCACAGTTCTGCACACATTTAGCCCAGTAGAATGTGGTTACTATAATTGGCCATGTCGGCTTGACTGATGAGCTGGTTTCTGTGTATCACTCGAAGTGAGATGCTTGGCTCTCATCTCCAAGGCAGCAGGTGACATGATAGACGGAGCCATCAGCTGAGAGAAGCTGTGCTCCCGAGTGAGTGTGGTAGGGAGGTGGTGGGGAATGGACTGTAACCCTGAAGTGTGAGCCAAGCGAAAGGAACGGAGACTGAGCAGTAAGTGCATCGGCACCACCCGTAGCCGTCTGGGTAAGAAAAAGCTCATTTAAACTGAGAGTATCAATATAATATGAATCCTTATCATTTATTACTGGTAACTGAGAATTTGGAAGGCATTCATATGAATAATACAAATTTTCTTGTTTATGTTGACTGTCATGAAATTCGTTTAAAAAGAGGAAATTGTTTTGTTAACTTGGCCTATGTAAAACAAAATGTGAAGGATTTCTATACTTGGCTTAGTTTGCATAGTTATCTCATATTCTGAAGATAAAATTATTAAAGATTATAAAAGAGCAGTATTTTAATTTTTTCTGTCTGAATTTGGCAGAAGTATACAAAACTGAAAATTAATATGTTGTATAACATTTTAAAATGTGTTCAGTGAGTTTTAAGGTAAAAATAACAGATGAAGAAAACATAAGTGAGTTGTCTCGAGATATTTAACATAAACTTCATAAAATTATATTTTTAAATATTTGAGATAAAAAAATTCACATTTTATCAAATAGATGGTGTCCAACTCATAATTAGCTAAAGATTTCATCTCGTGTTTCTTCAAAAGACTAGACTTTGCTTTAGATGATTTATTTTTGGTTGCAGTAGTTACTTTTAGGGCCTGTGGCTCTACGAAAACTTAACACATGGTTTGCAGGGTTTACCATTTGATTTTCTCCAGCCCATAGATCCAAAATGGTTCATGGTTTTCTATCCAAAATTCCTGTTCTAATTCCTTTTGGAAGTTTTAAGTGTTTCATTTTAGTTTTTAACATTTATTTTGTTATTTTATGTGTTATATATATAATTTTCTATGTGTGTTATACTTAGTTTATATATTTGTCTGTATTTATACCTGTGCACCGTGGACTTGCCTGAAACCTGCAAAGGCCAGAAGGCGTTGGATGCTTTGTAACTGGAGTTACAGACACTTGTGAGCTGTCAGTGCTGGGAATTGAACCCAGCTTTGTCCAGAAGGGCAGCCAGTTCTCTTAACCTCTGATCTGTCTGTCCAGTTCAAGTTTTATTTTAAAGTCAAGATTTATCTCATTTGTGGACTGCCCAAGGTTTTGTTTCTAGACTTAATGCTCAAGAAACTATACTTGAATTCTCTGCGGAAACTTTTTGTCTTCCATGGGGTGCCAGCACAAGTACTTTCTAAAGCTTTAACAAGTTAGAGTTTATAGTTTTGTTTGCTTTGCAGTGAATACGTCATTTAGAAATATATATGGTTTGTAAAATTCTTACATTTAAAATATTCTTATACAACATGCAAGGCAGTACTCTTATTTTACAGAAAGAAGGAATATGTTAATATTTTTATCTTATATCCATTATCCAAAATGCTTAGCTCTGCAAGTTTTCAGATTTCAATTTTTTCTTGATTTGAGGGTGTTTGCATATATACAAGGATATCTTAGGGAGGGAACCCAGGTCTAAACACAATGCCATTTAACTTTCATGCATACTTTCTTTATGTGGCCTAAAGTAGTTTTTACACAGTGTCTTCAGTGCACAGTGTCTCCCATGCACCTGAACCTCAACTGCAGCCTGTCACATGCCAAGTGTGAGGTGTTCCACGCGTGTCACCTTTATCAGCATGCGAAAGCTTGGCCTTCAGAGTGCTTTAGGTTTTGGAATGTTTTGGATTCAAGATTTGCAGATTAGGCATATTAAACATCTATTTTCTAATTATTTTTCAAGTAATGTCATCTAGTAAGTTGTGTATTGTATTTTGACTAATTTGATATAGGGACGAAGATATGCAGAGTTTGGCTAGTTTGATGAGTATGAAGCAGGCTGACATTGGCAATTTAGATGATTTTGAAGAAGATAATGAAGATGATGATGAGAATCGAGTGAACCAAGAGGAAAAGGCAGCAAAAATTACAGGTTGGCTTTACTAGCATTGAACTAAAAGTTTATTTTCTAATTTGTGAATTAAGTTTTGATTTCTTTTTTAACACATGTATTTAAGACAGTATGTTTTACATGTGCTTTGTATGTTTCTACCTTGTTTACTTCTGGTCAAATTCAAGTAAAACTCAGGTCCCTTTGTTTCAGTTTCAAAAAAAATCTTACTGAAGTTTTTTCTTTATAGTTTAAACATATGATGTATTTTTGTTAATTTTCCAAAAATTAACTTATTTGCATTTTTATCCTTTCATATAGAGGACTTAGATTCTAAAGTATTTGGTTCAAAAAAGAAAGACATAGTTTTATAATCTCATCCAAATCTGTACCATTTTGCTCAATTTTATACTTCTTGCCTTGAGATTTTGTCCAATGTTGATATTTGTAAACTGTGCTTCATTTACTTGTCACATCTATTATTTTTAGCCCATCTCTTACTTTAAGTATGTCTCTAATAGATATCATTTGGCTACTCTAGCTCCATAATGTTTGCTTTTTAATAGCTCTTTGCAGAGGTGGGGCAGTGATTCAGTCAGCAAAGCGCCTGCCACACACTGTAGTGACCAGAGTTCTGTCCCAGAAGCACAGAGACTTTGTCTGTAATCCAGTGCTGGAGGGATAAAAGGAGGGACTGTGGGGGCTGCTGGCCTGGCCAAATCAGCGGGCTCAGGGTTCAATGAGAGAATTGAGAAAGCTACCTGACTTTGGCTTTTGGCTGCACACACACTTACACCACACATGTGCATGCTCCCACCTGCCTACTCACAAAGCCAAGTGATACACAAGAATGTAAAAAGTTCTCTATCCCAGTAACTGATCTAATTTTACTTATATTAGTATATATATATAAACATGTATATATACATTCAAATATATATGGTTTTGAGGCCTTTTCTTATTATTTTCCTCTCTCTATCTCCCTTCATTTTGACACTCTGATTTTTAATTTTTTACATGTGTATGGGTCTTTGGCCTGTGTATATATCTGTGTGCCACATGCATGCCTGCATTGGTAGAGACCAGAAGAGGGTTTTAGAGCCCCTGGAACTAGAATGAATGTGTTCTGTTTTCATTTTAGAATAATAGACTTTAAAATGAGTAAACCAGACAGATAAAAATGAATAACCCTGTGGATCTTACTAGTATTAAAATTAAAACAGAGTATATTATTGCTCCTCTTATAAGAAATACAATATAATTTTCTTTGCCAGTCCCTTGCCTCTATCTCCTTTGGGCTATTATACTTATTTCATTAGTATCTGTTCCCCCCAATAAAAAATGTTAGCATACAATTGCATTTTCTAGTGATGGCAGCAGCAGCACAATACTTTATTTTTATTGAAAAGAGGTTTTTTCCTCAATATGGTATATTCTGATTACAGTTTTTCTTCCCCCAGCTCCTCCCTACGTACCCATCCACCTAAATCCACACTCGTTCTTTCTTTAATTAGAATACAAAGAGGTAATTAATAATAAAGAGGTGATTATAATTACAAAGAATAGTAATTATAAAAAATAAAATAAGATAAAATAAAAACAAATCAAAATAGGACAAAACAAACAAAGGGTGGAAAAAAGAGCCAAAGAAAAAACGTCAAGAAACACATACAGATGCTGAGGCTACACATTTTCACACAGAAATTCCATAAATACAAAATTGGAAACCATAATATATAAACAAAAGATCTCTAATGGGCAGAGAGGGGGAACCTCAGATAAAGCATTGTGAGATACAAAAACAATCTTGAAAACTACTACTGAGTTCATTGGCTCTCTGTGGCTGGGCATGGGGCCTGCCTTTAAATGTGGTTTGTATCCCCAGTGCGACTCCGTTGGAGAAGACTAATGTTTCCTTTGTGAGCAGCTAGCAATTAAAGACAGCTTCTGGGTTAGGGATGGGGCTGTGTCTATTTCCCCCCTCAGCTCTTGACCCTATCCGGCTTAGACTTGTGCAGGCCCTGTGCCTGCTGTGCCGTCACTGTCTCTGAATTCATATGCATCTGTCCTGTTGTGTCTAGAAAGCCTTGCTTGCTTCCTTGATGTTTCTATCTCCCCCCCACCCCACCCCCACCCCCGGTTCTTTCAGTCTAAGAGGAAGAATTTCAAGGAGACAAGTCTCTCATTGGAGAGAGACCTTGTGCTCTTAACTACTGAGCCATCTCTCTAGCTCCTGAGAATATTTTGAAATGTAATCATTTTTGTATGGTAATTTGAAAATTGTATAGTACAACTAGCACTTTTTTAGTTGTAGGTCTCTATATTGGTTTCCATCTACCATAACCTCTATCAGAGGAAGCTTCTCTGATAATGGCTGAGCAAGATACTGATCTATGAGTATAGTAGAATGTTGGTATCAGTCATTTTATTGCTACATTCCTTTAACAAAAGATTAGTATTTGGTTTTTCTCTAGGTTCGTGGCCTATCTTGTCCCAGATTCTTGACTACTTAGGTAGTGTTGGCCATGAATTCTATCTCATGGAGTGGAACTTAATTCCAATTAGATAGTGATTGGTTATTCCTGCAACTTTTGTGCCACTATTGCACCAGCATAGCTTTTAGGCAGGTCACAGGTAGATCCAAGCATTTGTAGCTGGGTTGGTGTTTCCTTTTCTCCACTGGTAGTGTCCAGAGTACCTTCTAATACCATGAACACTACTCAGAAGGGGTGAAGACTGGATAGACACCAGCTTGGCTTTTCTATGTTCAGTGAGTTGTGTAGGTGTTGACTTCAGTTTGTGAACAGCAACCAATAGCTTTGACAATAGCCTGGGTTGCTTGGAGGTCTCCATGGGAAAACCCTGCATGGGTGTCATACTTCTTCCATTATTCTCGCCTGTTCATTCCTGCTCCTGCTGAACTGCCTTTTCTTCCTAACAAGTTCCTTGAGTGAGTAGAGCTTAGAAGTTCTTCACTTAAACAAGGGAAACTCAGACTGAGTGACTGAGGAATATAACTCTCCCTCTCCCCTCAACTAGTAACTGCCTTAGTTAGTTTCTCGGGGAGAGGTAAGGTCTTGCCAGCTCCTCCCTCATCCATGATGAAATGTTGATGAACCCTATCTTCCTGCTCCCTTTTGTATGATGTTCTGTGAACAGTGAGGAGGTGATTAGCTGGCCCTTTAGGACTGAGAACTCAACAGTCACTCATTCTTAGCACTTTGCCCAGTTAAGAGTCTCTGCAGTAACTGTTGTCCACTGCAGACAGAAGCTTCTCTTACCAAGGCTGTGGACAGCACTTATCTTAGGCAGTCCACTTAGAAGGCAGCAATAGTAGGTTCCCCTTCAGGACCTATGACCTGCCCAACCATGGACTTTTGACCAGTGTACATTATCAGGTGTGGATTCTGCTTGTGAAGCAGGCCTCAGATCCAATCAGAAGGTCATTGGTTACCTCTCCATCACAGTCACACACTTACTGCACCAGCGGGTGTGTCTTTCCTGGTTGGTTGCTGTTGATGCATGCAGAGTTCACAGATGGGTAAAACTGTGAATTTTTTTCCCTCCCAGTGGCTGCATAATGTTTTCTAGGACTGTAAAAGCCAGCCAGTGGAGAGGAAGTTCCAGCTAACTTTCTATTTGGTTTCTCTTTATCCTGCAACCTATGTGACTTCAACAATTATCATCTGTTTTGCTGGGCAGCCAGCAGCAGTATGTATTGTTTTGTGTGTACAATTGTGTGTATTGTTTTTGGGGTCTCTGGAACCTCCTTGGCCAACAACTTAAAGAAGGAAGTATTCCATACCCTGTTACTAGTATTATTGTTTATTAACCTTGTCTTCTGGTAGTAACATTATCTACCTATCCAGGGTGTCTTTCTTCAAACTCTTTCTTTCCTGTTTAAATTATTATTTTTGACTAGTTTACAAAATAGTGGCTTCTACATCCAGCCTTTGTTTCAGCTATCCCCTTACCTCCTTATCTCTTCCTTCCCTCACTTCCATCCCCATATAAACCTTTACTCCCCAGTGTCCCCCACCACATTATATCACATGTGCTCTACTGTTGCTCCCCCTAAGTCCTCTTCCCATCCACTCTCTAATTGCTCCATTTTTAACTTCTTAACCTCTGCAGGCACCCGAGTTGAACTCACAAATCTAAATAGAGCTGCATAGAAGAGACAGCGGGTGGTATTTGTCTTTATCTGCTCTGGTCACTCACTTAGTGTAATATTTTCCCACAAATCTCATTTTTCCATTTGCTTTACAACGTGATGAACTTCTGTCATGAACATATTCTGTACTTTTATCATCCATCCATCAGATGACTGGTTGCATTTCCTAGCTATTGAATAGACAGCGAGTGTGTGCACATGCCTCTGCAGTAACATGGAGAATCCTTTGATTGCTGGTCCAGGAGTGGTATAGCTGTTGTCATATGGTCGCTCTCTTTTTAGCTCTTTGAGGATTTTCTACTGTGATTTCCATAGTGGTTGCTAGTTTACACTCCCACCACCAGTAAAGGTTCATCCTTCTCCATATCCTCACCAGCATTTGTTATCAATGATGATTTTCTTGATGATAGCCATTCTGACTGGGTTGGATGGAGCCTCAAAGTAATTTTGATTTGCATTTCCCTAGAAACATTTAAAGGTATTTATTAGCCATTTGGGTTTCTTCTTTTGAGGACACTGTGCCAATCCACAGACCATTTTTGCACTGGGTTGTTTGATTTCTTTATGTTTACTTCTTTTTTTGCAGAATATGTTCTAGACATTATTGCTGTCAGATGTGTAACTGGTGAAGGTCTTAGATCCTATAGGGTGCCTTCTCATCCTGTGATTGCTGGCTGCTCAGAAAGCTTGTGATTGCAAGGTTTCCCTTGTCAGTTGTTGGCCTCATTCTCCGAGCAAGTGAGGTGCTGTTCTAAAATCCTCACTTTTACCTAGGCCTTGAACTATTTTCTCTACCTTTTTCTCTAACAGCTTTGGTGTGTCAGATCTTAACTTTAGGCCTTTGATCTATTTGGAGTTAATTTTTGTA